CTTCCTATATTCAAAGCTCTTAGATGCTTCCTATATTCAAAGCTCTTAGATGCTTCCTATATTCAAAGCTCTTAGATTCAAAGACTGCAACCAGCTGTTTTTTCTGCATACAAGAAATGTGATTTCCAGAGGATTCACTGTAAACTTCAATTGAAGTGAAGGACTTTGGGCATCTTCTGAAGTTCATTTCCATGGAACTCACGCTATGCGTGAGCCTTTTAAAAATCCTCATCCACTTTCCTCCAGGTCAGAGGTAAACTTCCTCTCGTTGCTGACAGCATAGTGACCATGTTACTGACATCGTGTACGTTGAACTAGTAGCAGATATATGTTTAAGAATAAATCAACAAAATTTTGCTTCCTTTCCCTAAATATTACTTTATTAAGGCAGCTCAAAACTAAAAGGGAAATAATTCTCAAATTACGGACTTTGAGTAAGTAAAACATTAAGACAGACCCCAGTCCTTTATCCCAGTGTGCTTTCCACAGTAACCTAATGCAGGAGTCATATGATCCAAATGATTATAGGAGATAATATGAGTGAAGTCTTAAGAGCACAGGCCCTACTCCTAGCAGCAGCCACTAATCAGCTCTTGGCAATAGCTGCCATACAGGAATGCAGGCCCTGTATTGCCAGATCTTACGATTTTTTTCATGAAAAACCAAAAATAAAGATTTTTATGTGAAATCTGTCAATTTAAAAATGTTGGCTCAAAAATTTTTTTAAATGGTGCAAGCAAAACAAAGCGTATCTGTAGGTTACTCATCTGTAATCTTTGGCCTAATAACCCAGCTGTTCTGCAGCCTTAAAGCTAAGTGGTCCAAAGAGTTGAAATATAAAATCCTATATAGGCATCAAGCAGTGTTGCCCACATTTCCCCCATATTGGTAGTCTGAAATCTTCGGTCCTTCTAGAAGAAAAGGTTCCTGTGGTTAACTGGCTTTCATATGTAAATTTTAAAGTGGCATCATATACAAATGCTGACAAACTAATTATTCAAATAATATCCAGGTTCCTCCTCCAAAAGCTGAATTGTCAGACACATTTCATTCTTGTCTGGGATGGTCTTAACTATCTGACCAAGACTGCCAGCTGGTAATCCCTGGTGTTAGCTGGCTTGTTTGGCCACCAAACCACTGCCCTGGAACATGTTGTTTTGCTCCGTCCTGCTTCCAGAGACCAGTTACAAGCCTCAGCAACTAGGCACAAGCTTGCATGTGTACACACTAATTCCTCTATAATTAAAAATACCAGATAGTAGTTTGCTGATCAATAAAGTATTTATTCAGCACCAATGTGCCAAGCACTGTGCTAGGCACTGTGGTGAATATAAAAATTTAAAACATGGTCCCTGCCCTTAAGAGCTTACAATCTCATGAGGGAGACAACACTAAAATACAAGAACCAGCTAGAAACAGTACAAGACAATACATGATTTGGTGTAAGAGTGTGTCATACAGACTTGAAGCTTAATAGGGATTCAAAGAGCGACAGTGAAATGGGTCTTAATTTGAGGAGTCAAGATTTGAGGAGCCAGGAATTGGTCCCAGCCTTGAAGGACTGACCAAACCCAAACCCAGTGCCATCCAGTCAACTGCAACTTACAGCGACCCTATAGGACAGAGTAAAACTGCCCCCATAGGGTTTCTGAGGCTCTAAGTCTTTACAAGAACAGACTGCCACATCTTTCTCCTGTGGAGCGGCTGCTGGGTTTGAACCGCCAACTTTTCAGTTCACAATCAAGCGCTTTAACCACTACGCCATCAGTGCTCCTTCTGAAGGACTGAAGAGATTTAAATGGAGTCCTTGTCAGGTATAAGTGGGAATTAAGATTCAGAGGAAGACAAAAAGTATGTATTTGATATGGGAGCTTACAAAGTCACTGTGGATAAGTGACTTGATCAGACAAGGTTCAACAGCTTCGATGCAAACTCATAAAATATGCAAGTAGTTTAGAGGGCATCCTGCACAGCACTGAAAATAATGGCAGGATTGTGACTAAAACACAGATGGCACTCACCAGTCAGAAGGAAACGGCCACAACATAAAATACCGGCAGGAGAGATGACAATTCTAGGAAGCCCCTTAGCCACATGGCAATAGCTTCAATATTTCCTAATTTTCAGAAGTCCCTACAGAGGTCTGTACAGGCGTCCACAGACAGTGAGGGTTTCATTACCAAGATCCAGGACTTGTGGGTGCCCTTTGCTTAGACTACACAAGAGGTATTAAAAATATTATAACATACAAGAGTGACAAGAGAAAAAGCACAAGTGGACGAGAGAAACAAATAGAAATCCATAGTGGAAAAAACACGCCAAAATGTATATAAAATGTACCTCCTAGGGAGATGCAGCTTGCACGTCCATTTTTTGTTTTAAATGAACATATACAGTATTTCTATAACAAAAAAATTACGCCTTAGTCGGGCGTGCTTTTCAGTATTACTGAAGAATCCAACAATCCCTCAGATTATATGCATGTCAGGTAAATTGGTCACACAGTAAAATTCCACATATCGAATCTCCTTTTTCAGCTGACTTGCATTACAAAAAGGGTGTTCTGGAAAGATCGAGAGGTAAGTGGGGGAAGAAATGAGGACTTTTCCTTACGTCCATGTAAGCACAGGTGACACGACACGGGGCTAGGGATGGTAGTAGTAGGACTGGCCAAACTGCAAGAGGGCAGTCATCGACACTGTCTAGAACACAGTGTAGTAGCCAGCCTGACCTGCTGTCACCAGGAATTTTTATCCTATAAACTCAGGCAAATCAAAATCTCATAACTGCCTGCCTCTGGGCTATAAATTCAAATTTTGTTTCCTGTTTTATTCAGTCATTAATGTGTACAGATAATATCCCTTAATGAACAGTCAGTGAATAAGAATTTAGGATTACAATTTTACCACAAAAATGCCATGAACTGGATAACCCAAAGTTAAGTCAGGGAATACAAATAAACTAAAGAAACCTCTAACCTAGTCCTAAAACAAATAATAATAAAAAAAAAAGCTAATAAAAGTCACTGATAAATCTTTCTTGAACAAAGACATGACAAAACCTAAGAATCCCTGAAGGATTAATACATATAAGGTTGGCATGTAAACTGTTAAAAAGACTTTGGAACCATTCAAGAAAACAGCACTCCCATTAACCAAAGTTCCATACAATTGCAAAAATTATATTGAAGGTTACGTACTAGCAACGTTTAAAATACCTGTATTAAATTTATTACTTATGAATATTCCAATTAGATTTAAAGACATTGTTTTTCACTTCAAAATCATTCTGAGAATTCCCACTTAGGATGTTTATGATGTTCAAGCTGCACGTCCATCTTTCTGAGGAAAATCTCACTATAGAAAGCTACCAGTCAAGCTGGAAATACCACTGACAGTCAAGTTTGGGGAAGTGGTCCTGGGCCTACACCATGTTTATAAAAACTATTTGGAATCACCTTGTTTTTGGAACTGCCAATCTTAACTCTTTTGGGTTCTCTGAATTACTTAAGCAGCGTGAATGCAATCCTGCTGAGACTTGGAAAGATTCCGTATTTGGGACGAGTATTTATTGGACCACAGGCATTATTAACTGCCTACTTCTGTGGCCCTTAATTTCCACCCGATTGGGAAGATACACCAGGTGTTGGCTCTGAAAAGCTTTTTAGCCTAACATGAAGCAAATGATCAACGGTAACCAGCCAAAGACCCGGGGGGAACTTGTCCCTGCCTAACAGGTACCAACCTGTTCATCTGGCTCCAAAGCCAACATTTTAACTGGTTTTCCAGGTCGGAAGATCTTTCTGAAGTTTTCCAAAAATGTAGCCAGGACCAGTCTTTCCCTGGATATTTCTTAATAAAGTAATGTAAGCAGAGTAAATAAGGCGCCACATTAGCTTTTTGCCTATAGCTGAAATCCTGCTGTTACAAGAACCATGCCCCCCTCCCCCCTTCTTTCTACATTGTCTGACATCTTAAAGTTTTGCAAAACCCAGACTGAGAACTATCTGGACAACAGAAATAAATCCTCTTCCTACTGAAGTTAGCATCCTAAATTCGTAAGATGTGTATACAACCACAGCAATAACAGTCCTCATGTGCGGACAGGCAGCGAGCCACGTATTTCCAATCTTCTTGAAATG